AGAGGGGTAGGGGGTGTGGGGGAGGTTGCACCCCTTGTGCAGAGCTGTCTGAGGTGCCACTCGACAGGTGGCGGAACGCGCGGCACGGCGCGGCTGGAGAGTCGCGCGAGGCGCCAGCAGGGGAGGCAATTGCACACCACGGCGGCAAGCGTCAAAGAGATTAGCACCCGCTGACACCTCGGCTCAAAGCGAGCGCGACGACATAGTGTCGTCAGCAGAGCGCGCACACCTACACTTGGTCGCGACGTTTAGTCTTACTCGTTAGCAAAGCGAATCTCTCCCAGGCACGCCACCCTACCCAGGCATAGAGAGAACCCTCTCATTTTCACGCCCCGCGGCGTTTCAAATGCCGCGCGTGTACGCGCCCTTTGACTGCAGAACGAGAAGTGGCACAATTCGATCCCCATTGTGGCGTCGCTTGTGCATCTTTCATTGGACAATACCCACAGTGCATTTCGCCCATCCTCCCTCATTTTGTTATACTCACAATTTTCGTGAAAAATTATTCGAGGCCTCGCAACCAACTATAAATAAAGATCACGCGGCTCATGACAAAATAGAAAGACTGGCCAGGTTACTCACCGAAATCTTCAGTTTCATCCAGTAGGACGATAGGAGCAGCTTTCACTCCTTCGAGCTGCAATCGAGGCTGCAGCACTGCTGTAAACAAACAAAACGGCAACTTGTAAAATATATATTTATTTGCACTCATTGATTTCATGATCAATTGTAGTACACTTAAACATCTCCTTTTCAAGAAACTGCACGCTAAAATCTTATGAATTTTTTTCTTTATAGCTTACTGAGTTCTGTAAACATAGGCCTACAGGCAGAACTCAGTAAGCTAGGAATAAAAATGTTCGTAAGATTTTAGTGTGTGCTGCCTGGGAGTTATTGCCAGTGTATGCTAGCCTTCTTATTTTCTCTCTGAGGAAAGATGAAACTAAACAATACGCAAAAGGAGAAAGCTGCGGAGAGCATTTTAATTTTTTTTTTCCATTTTACCGAACCCTAAGAGGATCCCACACATCGAGCGGCTTCACCGCGCGGATTTAAGTAATTGATTCGTCCCAATCTTGGCAATTTATCATATATGGAGTCCTCCGCGGCCTTATCAGCTCTGCGAGCCCCCTCGTTTTCGTCCTTATGAGAATGTGGCAGTTGTGAGACCTCTGCACTCGGCCGCCTCTCATATGACGTCGCATTACCGATTATTAGTCTCGCCAAGAGCAGCCTGGCTCACGTGATTTACAATGTGGCGGTAAAGCACCCGGCTGTTCATATCATTACAAGCTCACGGGGGGGACGACGACGACGACGACGACGAAAATTGCAGACTGTCGGCGCTCATACCACACCAGAGCGCTAACTACATTTGCTAGTCTAATGTCTCAGTTTTCTCGGCCGCGTCTCTTTTTTTGATGAACGGGCGTTGTAATGCTGGGTGGCGGGCGCGCTGCGGCGGTGCCCGACGGCGGCTGGGCGTTTAGCCCCGGAGAGGTAAAATGCAACGGCGGTGATTAACGTTTCTGATCTAAATTATGATAATGCGGCGCTGATAAACTGTAATTAACCCTATCAGAGCGGGGCGGGTAATGAGCGCACCACCACGACGACGCCATTCGCAAGTCTAATTGACATATTGTTGAGCAGCGTCACTCCCGTCGAGCGCTGCGAATAGAGCGTTACATCAACCCGCCTTATTTGGTCCCGCCGTGCGCGCGGCCGCCGCCGCCGCCATCGTGTCGGCCGCCCATGCCCCCCAAGCCAGAGCGCTCTTGGCGTGCATCGCGAAGGATTCCCCGCGCACTTTCAATATTACGTCTAAACACTGATAAACTGTTAAAGTTAGACCGGTGTAAAAACTTTTCAACAAGGATGAAAAGTTAAGGTTTTGTTCCATGTACACTTTTTTGTCATTTACTGCGGTGAATGCAAACACTTAGCAACGTAGAAACGGTTGGAGCATACGTAAAAAGATGAGATTGAGTTTAAATCCCATTAGGATATCCTTCGAATTTTTACTTCTTCACCGACTTTTGCAGCTAGGAAATGTGTCATGTTCGTTTTTTAGTAAATTCAATTGTTTTTTGCGAAAAAAGTCCATGAATGAGTTAATATTCGAAGAAACTTCTCATAGGACTGAAACTCGAGCACACCATTTTACACCTCCTGCAAGTGTTCCTATATTGATTGGTTTTGGCATCCAGGAGTAAATGGCAAAGAACAAAAAGGATTGAAAGTCTTAATTTTCTATCCTTGCTTTGCCCCTTTCTTTTTATGTCGCATCGAGGAGACAGTCAATGCCCGGCCCCGCATTGGAGAGCGGCGGCGCGGCACCTCCGCTATTAGATTCGTCATAAGTCTCCTCGCACTGTGCCCGCGGCCTATTCCAGTAATTGTTTCCGCGAGGGGCCTGTATAGGCCCACGCTGCAGTGGGGTGGGGCGGGCGGTCAGGGTGCGAATGAGTAGCACTGGCGCTCTCTGTGTTCTGGAACCACTTCAAGTCCCCTCACTCCCTTCTCTCTTCCTTCCCCCTGCACCTTGTTCTGTCATCACCCCGCCCCCCTCTCGCCCCTTTCCCCTTCATCATCCCCCACGCTCTCTTGTTCTCCTTTCAGTTCTTTCTCATTTTTTCCCGTCGTCCGTCTCCTCTATCGCCTGCTCCAAAGCGCGAATACTCACGTCTCGGTTGCCGTGTTCGCCCCAAGCTGCTACCGACTTACTTTACTCCCGTTTCGTAACTTATTTTCTGAAATGTTTGAACAAATTTTCATAGTTTATATTTGAACGTCCTCAGAAGGCATGTTTCAAACTGCAGATAAATTGATGGAAAGAAACAGAGACCCCAGATAAAAATTTCTATGAGGAGGATCAAATTTATGTCTATCAAATTAGAGCAGCACTTGTGAACTGCTTAACGACGTTTTCCCCTGATGAGCACCGGAACGTGCTAAGTGCAACGATGGAAGGTGGGGGCGCGTATGATCGCAGAAAGTGACAAAAGTGACAAAAGGCGCCTTCCTGGCGCGGGGCGAGCGCGCCCGATCTTTGTGCACCGTCACCCCTCCGTACATAACACCTCCAGTGTTGATCCCCTCTCCTCCCTTCTCGCTGTGGTGCTAAATAGCCTGATTTTCACTCCCCAGCGTCGCGACACAACGCCTTTTCCACCCCTTTTCTCGTCACCTTTTCTCTTGGCCTGTCTCGCTCTCTCGCTTTTCGCTCCGCGCCCTCCATCTAACCCTTTCGCACTGATGGGAAGAGCGCTCATTGTGTGCGCTGCAGAAAAGGAATATGGATGAAAATGAGAGAGAGAGAGAGAGAGAGAGAGAGAGAGAGAGAGAGAGAGAGAGAGAGAGAGAGAGAGAGAGACGCATTATCCCCACCTTGAGTGCGAAGTTTGCCACCCCGCCATGGCTTAGCTCCTCCCCCTTTTCACGCGTACTAGCCTACTCTCCTTTACCCGCTCCCCCTCCTCTCTCTCTACCCTTCTTCCTCACGTTCACATCCATCCTTACTCCTTGCATGCAGTCTTTTTTTTTTCACCCTCCGCGTCTGGCCATACCAACTGCCCGCGCAGCAGCGCCTGTGTACGCGTTCAGCAGCGAGGGGCAGTTCAATCCGCGGAGGACAGCAGTACCACAAACCAGACAAATTATTCGTATACGATATAAGTGCAAATTAATTTGTAGAATCGATAGGTTGCCATTACCGCAGTGGCTGTCAGTGTTGCCACAGGGAATCATGCGTAGATACATGTCGCACCAGTAATCGAAAGCTACCGAGTAAAGAATTATGTAATATTATGTTTACTTTAAAATAAAATTTTTGTGAGTGGCCCAGGTGGCAACGGTCGCCGCGCGGCAGGCGGCCTCCACGTGCGCCTGGACATGATCGCCCCCCAAATGCGCAACCCAGTTGCATCTGCGGCGTCCCGCTCTAAGCCGCCGGCTTTGCCACAATACTGGGCCTCCCGCCGGGTCACACCTCCGACCTCCGCGCCCCGACACGAAAGACCACGTGTGCGTCGTCTGACGTGACGAGTTTGTCCAATCTCAAAAAGTCCTTGCGTTAAGTCAAGCAGTGTTTTGCAATAGAATTGAAACAGGAAGTTAATGTGCTTATATTATAGGAAGTTGCATAGTTTCGGAGAACCTACTTTCACTTACGTACGCCTCCAGCGCACAACTTCGAATTGTAGATTGGCTTCAGCCGTTGTTTCAACACTTTTTAGTAGAGATCTACTTTGAAATATGTCAGGAAATTCACTGCATGTCAGGTAGTTGGCAGGAGCATCATCGACCGACGGACGGGTGTATGACGGCACAGTATGATCATGTTAAATCGAGCTGGAGAGCTCTTGGATTACAGGGGATGAGGTGGTGGGTGCGGCCCAGAGGTCCAGGCGAGAGGGTGACGCGCGGTGGCAAGCAGGGACAGGGGGTGAGTGGGAGGGGGGGGGGGTGAATCTGTGAAGATCACAAGATAATCCCCCGTCATTATCTGGATCGGCTGCGGGGTGACCGCGCAGGGTCGCCTCCGAAAGTGTCCCCTGCCGCCCCGCGCGTTTACGGTGTCGCGTCGTTGATCGATGAAAGAGAGACACGTCAGCGCCGCGGACGCAGCAGCCAGCTCGGGGGCCACATCAAAAAGGGAGCGGGGGGCAGCGCGTGAAAGTTCACCGGGGACATCACCAGTCGGGCGCGCTCTACAGATGGAGAGATAATCCAGGCTCCTCTGTTATAAAATGAGTTAAAATTTTTGTGGTTTTGTAAGTAACAGCATCTGGCGGCCCCCTCTTGATCATAACACTCGAATGTCGTTAATTTATGTATTGAAATTCAACATACATCAGTCACGAATGTTTTCAGCAACGATTCCTCGGCCTTGACTTCGTAAATTATTCAACTCACAACAACATTTATTGACTTTGTTTCAGACGGATGTTCCCCGCCTTCAAAGTGAGAGTCACGGGCCTCGACAAGAAGGCCAAGTACATCATGCTGATGGATATCGTCGCATGCGACGATTGCAGATACAAGTTCCACAACAGGTAAACGAAATAATGTTCCGCCCAACATGCTAGCCAAATCAACCGCATATACGACAAATTGGTTTGGTAACTCCATCACATCACCGCTGCGAAATGGCTCTATACGGCGGCGGCCAAAAAGCACCAGAGGCGCGTGTGGCGGTGTCCCTTTCCTCAAAAGGGTTATTCACACTCGGCTTTCTCTCACGACCCAAAACAAGCCCCGGCCTGGCATATCTGCAAAGAGCTTTTTCGAGAGCGGAGCAGCACGGCGCAGCAGCGCATAATGGAGATTATCCGGGTGGACAGAGAGCGGCGAAGAGCGGCCCGGGTCCTTTTGTGATTGTCCGGTAGACTGCTTTAACAAGTCTGGCGACACTCTGGCGGCGGCCAGGCAGGCCCTCGTCTTATTTTTATTCCAGAAGAAGAGCCCCGTGGCGCTTCTGGCCGGTCGGGTCGTCCCGGGCCGGCGGGCCGGTGTCCCTGCAGTGGAAACGGCGAACCTGGGCTGTAATATTCATGTCATACTATCAACGCGTGATTATGGTCAAAGACACACACAAACAAAACGCACGGCAGGGTTACTACTTGATTCGTTTCTTGTCGCTATCACATACTCGTTTCGTTTTTCCTCTTTCAAGTAGTATCCATTTTGACCTAAGATCAATTTTTACTTCATTCAAGACCATTCTGGTTTTCTTCGATGTAAGAAACCTTTCCACTATCGAAAGATAATACCATCGTGGGTCAAAATTTACTGAAAACAACAAATTTTTCTTCTGAGCTTTAAATAAAACCCTAGGCCCTCTCTCTTCCCTCCTTTCTTAACTCTGCCAGTAATGCCCGTGTCTTGCCTTACAGCCGGTGGATGGTCGCTGGCAAGGCTGACCCCGAGATGCCCAAGAGGATGTACATCCACCCCGACTCACCGCTCACCGGCGAGCAGTGGATGCAGAAGCTTGTCAGTTTCCACAAGCTCAAGCTCACCAACAACATCTCCGATAAACATGGATTTGTAAGTACAGTTCGTCGTATTTGCCAACTTAGACCACCTCTGATTTTTGGTCGTTCGGACCATCTACTTAAGACAATTTTAAAACATAGTCAGTACCGATTTCTCCTTGTCTCACTCATGCGCTCATGCGTGAGCCAGGTAAGAGCCTGCGAGGTGCGTTCGCATTTCGCACATCTGCACGTCGCAGACACACCGCGCTCGCGAGACTCTGTGCGGCAAGGGGTATCGCACCGCTCACCCCCTTTTGTTTAATCCGCACAATGCCAACCCCTTGTTTGCACCGCGGCTTTGCCCAGCAGGAGGTCTCAACTCTGTCAATGCTTGGACGTCATGCCAGCTACAGCAAGGCTCCGCAAACTGCAATCCGCCATGTTTATGCAAAAGACTTGTGCGCCAGAGACGTGCGGGATAATCACTGTTAATCCTTGCGGCACTGTAAAAACAAAGGAGCTGTCTTATGCCCTTTACAAGCGTTAGTGTAAAGGCATATCTAGAAAGCGGCTACCGTCCCCAAACGGCGCTTTTTTCGGCACCTTCAGTGTATATACAAAGACAATGCAGTTACACCCCCCAAAATGAAGTGAAACTATAGCAGTTCCCTGTGGCCTAACAGCTGGACAAGTTTTGATATGCGGCCTTCCAGGAAAGATGTTATTTTTGTTATAAAACAGATTGGGTAATTCGGTGCCAATAACAGAGGGAGTTATATGCTGGGCGGCCGTCTAGGGAAGCCATTTGAACGGGCGCCGTTAGACGCGCCCTCCTGTGAGGCCCTTAAGGGGCTGGCGTCTGGAGATCGCTATCTCAGTGTCGCCCTTTGAAGCTCGCCGCCCCCGCTGCACACGCATGGCCACCTCAGAGCGTGAGAGACTTGTCACCTCAGCCTCCCCCCGCCCACGCCGTACCACGCACCTTGCGTCGCCACGCCGTGCCAAGCCCTTTTCAAAGTGTCTCTGAGGGTCGGGGGAACTGGGGGAAGAGAATCGATTGTCGGCCGACCTGACCTAGTAGGTGTGATTGAGCAGCTGTTGAACAAAGAGAAGATCACCTCGAAAAGAGTCGGACATCTGGACTGACCCGGCTTCTAGAAGAAATGTCAAACGTACTCTTCTCATTCCTGCGAGACCATTCCTGACTCTACGTACGTCCTTGGTGTAAATACTTAACTTATTGTTTCGGGAAAGGGAACTGACGCGCTTGCTTCCAAAGCCGAAATCAAGCGTAAGCTTGTTACCCAGCTTGTGATACGGTCGGGTCCTGCGGTAATCTGAAAGGACAATGTCCGAAACCCTCACAATGAGCCGTCTAATCCAATCCTACCGGCCACAGGCCGCAGGCCGGGGCTCTAAATGGATCCGTGACGCCAAATTGCGACGATAGGCGGCGCTGGGGTTTTCGCATGTCCACAGCGCTGACCCCCCGCCGCCGTCGGGACGACGAGGCGTTTGATGTGACCGCCAGTGCGCTAATCTTAACACAATCCTCGACGAGATTAAGTCCGAGAAAATGTTTTCCACCTTCGTAACCTTGGGCTACAACAGTTCCTTTTCGATGTACGCAAATTTTAGTTTATTGGTAGGTAACCTCACAACGAATAAACTAACTCCAAAACTAAAAATTATCAGCTCCCACGTAGAGGTGCGCTGAGTCCGTGTGTGTGATTCGACGACAAACGGTAGACCAAACCTCACCTCGTCACCCCGATCCATCTTTACGAGGGGCAGCAGCGCGGCAGGTGCAAGCAGAGGGGCCTGGTGGTGGGGGAGCATCCATCACTAGGGGAGGGTGACACCGGCCAGGGAGCCACGGTGAGGTTATAGCGGGCGCAACAAACACAATTACCCCAAGCATTCTTTTCACGCATACGAAAAAAAATAATAATAATAAGCTTGCTTGCTCCTCCAAGCAGCAGCAGCATCTGCAGCCATAGCGCGCCGCCTTGAACAAGATCCACTCCCTTTTCTTCATCAGCGACGCCTTTGCTGTGTGCGCGGCACCCAGGGCGGCACGGCAGGGCGCATTGTTCACTCAGGCGCAACTTTGTTCACCTATTAGGCGAGGCGGCGGCAACGGCGGCGCCTTTCACACCAAGATATGCTCTCTCTCTCTCTCTCTCTCTCTCTCTCTCTCTCTCTGATGTGTAGTGGCGTCAACAAGGAGCATTATTCGCCCTCCATGGCGTGCGAATAGAGTGAGGTCGGTTTTGACCCGCGCAGGTGTCGCGGTGGGCGTGCGCAAAAGGTGCGCCCGACACACCACTTTTAATTGATTCTTACACGCAGGCGCTCCTACCACCGGTGAATAGATACAGGCCACAGGCCTCCTTTTATATGCGAACGTTTTTACAATGGAAACGCAAGTATGTGAATGTCGCATACTTGTAGATGTGTGAATGCCCATACGTTCTCGAGTAAGGTGTAAATTTTCCTTTTAAATTCACACACGTGTGTCTATGAGTATCGCTGCCGTTCACACTCCTACAAGTGTGGGACATTCACAGTATTGGGTTTCCGGTGTGGCGTCTTTTGGGCCACAATGTAGTATGATACGTCGAATGGGTTCGAATGTCACACACTCTTATTTGAAGAGCATATTATGAAATTTGTAAACTAATGTCTGATCATTAAACGGGAACGTTTTAGTTTTTATAGCACGATGCTCGTATATTTGCACACATTTTGTACGGAGCGCGAGAGATGTTCTGTGCTCTGGCTGGGCAGCCGACTTTATGAAAAAATGCATGTGATCGGCCCAGGTGCGAAGTGGCGGGAGGGGGGCATCCCTTGTGGCCCGAAGGAGAATCTTCCTTTTGTGTGGTCATAGCGGGATACGAGGGGGTGCCGTGTGACGTCTGACTTAATACTGCGACCGTTGATACCGACGCTAGTACTAGTTCACTGGCCTAGGGCAACACAAACCTGCGAACTGCTGGCGCACGTACAGTTTCGAGGTCATGGTCACGTTACGTACTTTATTATTATAAGCAAAATTGAACCTGACACATATAGTCAAATCAATAAGACCCCTAGAAACGACGCGTCCCCTTCCCTTGTACACTTTTAATTTTCTCCCCTGTTCCTTAAATCGATCGATAAAATAGCTGGTGCTGCCTGCACCGCCCGGCCCTGTTCACCCCTTCCAGTCGGCTCCACCTGGCGCTGGCAGCCTGGCGGCGCTGGTGGTGTGAGCAGCGATGCAGCTACGCCTCGCCACGTCACCCTAACGCAAGGTGACAGCTCCCCATACAGCACGCCTTCGCCTTTGAGGTCCCCCCGGCCGGGCCGGAGCCGGGCCAGCCAGAGTCGGGCCTCCGGGGCCCCACACCGCAACCCACACTGCTCGCGCGGCACCTCTGTGGCGCCGCGCCAGGGCGCGCCAGGCCTGCGGACCTCTTATGGGCGCAGCCATGTGGACGGACATACAGTATCGCAAAGTGGCGCGGCTCGGCGTGGCGTGGCGTAGCGTAGCGCGCGCGGGGAAGAGTAGTCGTGTCATTGACGTTCTTTGCCCCCGGACGGAAGACGTTGGCCCCTGGGTGGTGCCGAGCGGCCGCCGCGCCGACACGACGTCAGCCGATGCCGCCGAGATGGCTGGGGCGCGGGCGCGGGCCGCGGCGGGCGCAAGACTATATGGCGCGCAGCATATGTGGTCAGTTGAATCTCTCTGCAGTCGCGCACGGCACAGCAGGTGACCCCCTCCCCCCGCCCCCCTACCCATCCTCCTTTTACCTTTTCCCGTCTTTTCCACCCCGCCACTGGCAATTTTTAATTTTTGGTTACGCACCACGAAAAAAAAACTCAAACAAAATTATAATTGTACGTGAGTGATCTCCTACCTATGATATATTTCCCTGTTTTATGAGAACATTGAACTTAAACAAACCCGAGATCAAATAAATTTGAACAAAGAAATAAATTTTCGGGGTGTGCTTTTAAAGGGGTATCCTCCTGACTGCTTACGAAACGAAAGTAAACCATCAGTCCTTCAGGAAAAAAGCTCCATAGTTTTCCAACTTTCAGGCCTTCACAAAAACACGTGGGTGACGGCAAAAATATCGCAGTGTGCGTGTGTGATGCGCCGACCGACCCCCATCTTTCAACCCCCACCCCTTGCCTTCGACCTGAAAGTGTCGATAGCTGAGTGCGTGTGGTGTCCCCTGGGGTCGCGCACCCCATGCCCCCCCCCCCTCCTCTCAACCCCTGACCGCGCCGTGCCCCTCCCGGTCTTGTCGCGCCGTAAGTCGCCCCTTTTCAAATAAGACCAGCCCCGGCCGCAGTGAGAGCCACACCCTTCTGCTGGCCGATGGGATTTGCGTAGCGCTTTGCGTAGCGCGCGATACGCTGCCAGCTTGCAGTCTCACGGGATTGGGGAGCGAGTGTAAAAGGGGAGGGAGGTAGAGGAAATCTGCTAGAGCGGCCAATTGAAACCACCTATCTAAATAAAAAATACGGCCATCTGAAATTTCGTCAATCTCAAACTCATCCAAAGTTATATTCTGAAGAAAAACCTCAAGAATTTGTGTTTTAAAGCTATTTTTTAATAAGTTACCTTTCAAACCTTTCTCGTTGGTGATAATGGTGAGACAGACGGGTCGATATGGCCCGACCCATCAACCCTTGTCGCTTTCGCAAACACCCGGACTAACACACCTTTTCCCCCCCCCCTCTTTCTTTATTTTTGAAGTGTTTGGGGTTTGGCGTCAGTCTATCCATCATGTATGCGGGGGCCCAGGCAGTCAGGGGGAGGGGGGGGGGGGGAGGATCGGCAGTATTACCTGCGTGAACTGTCGCAGCGGGGTGGCCCGGCCGGGCTCTTGGCGTGGCGCCACCCTCTGTTTCTCTGTCTCTCCCTCGCTTTCCCTCTCGCTCTGTCGCCTCTTTCCTTCTCGTCTTTTGGTGGCAATAATAACAAGATACGTCGGACTCCCGTACGAAAAAGTTTAGTCCGGCATCAGTCCGTTTTCGGTACGAAAAGAGTCCGGCTGGACAGTCCGGCATCAGTCCGCCAAAGCGAGCGGACTAGTCCGCGAAAAAAGCCAGATCGACCAAAAACCGACCTATTTGCCGGACTAGTCCGGCTGGAACTAGTCCGCTTTTGGTGCGCATACCCGCCTCACCAGACTGATCGCGGACTGGTCC